GGATTATAATGAATTATGACCCTGTTCTGACTGGGTTAAACTTGGCCAGCAACTCTTAAAGAGTCTCCCAAGGATTCAATATCCGTCAAGGAATAGTTTATTTTTGCTTGCTACATCATGTAGAAATGCTTTTGAAGCACAGTCTCATTTTTCCTAACGCGTCAAACCACATAAGATCGTTGAGAGCACACTTAGTCATGCCCCCTCATACACTGACGGATTGTGCTCCCCTTCTGCGAAGGAGGAGTCTAGGCCCTATAAATCAGTAATGACACAGGACATCTGCCCTTCTGGTCTGTGATCGCGTCATAGACCGGAGAGGCCAGCGCCGTAAACTATTCTTTTCCTGCCTTGATTTTAATACAATTGGTAAAACTGAATTCACATTTCCTTGATTTATTAAAGTGTGGGTTGCCGCTTCTGAGGGAGGTTCGAGCTGGGGGGAGCAACGTGGGCTGGAGTTGGGTCCTGGGTCAGAGAGGAGCCTAAGGCCCACGGCTAGCAGCAGCTAGCTGCAGTGACCGGTGCCCCGCAGCCAGCTCCCGGGCTAACAGCTTGGTACCAAAACCCGGGAGCTGGCGGACCAATAGAGCTCAGGAGCTCTGAGCTGCAGTGGACTATGCTGATTGGGTGTCCGCACTAAGATCGGTATCAGTATGGTGCCACTGGGGGAGCCCAGGACCACCAGGTCGTCCAAGGAGAGATGCACCGGCCTAGATCGGAAATGGAGCAGATCAAAAACCCCAGGACCAGTCTAGATAAATATCTTAACACAATGGAGTTCTTTCTGACCCTCTCTGTACTTCTCCATCAGCATCCTCAAAGCAAAGATGGATCTGTGGTGCTCTTTCTTGGCATGAAACCATCCTGCTGCTCACCAATAGTCACCTCTCGTCTAAGTCTTCTTCTACAACTCTCTCCCAGATCTTCATCGTGTGACTCAACTTAATTCCTCTGTAGTTGCTACAACTCTGTACATCACCCTTGTTCTTAAACATGAGCACCAGCACTTCTTCTCCATTCCTCATTTCTCACCTCAAATATACCATTGAATATTTGAGTTAAAACCTCACTGCCATCTCTCCAAGACATTTCCAAACCTCCACTGGTCATCAGGTCCTACTGCCTTCACCTTCTTCATTCTTTTCAGAGCTTTGTTACGTTATTCAAAGGTTTGAAGCAGGATCTGAAACAACTGTGCACAGTATTATTGCAGGTTTATTGTACAGATAAGTGAAAATCACAAACTCGCATGACATCTGCCCATTTCACCTGAACAGCCCCCGTTAACAGCGCGCGCCACACCTTGTCTTCAGAAACTGGTCACACCCATTGGTGTCGATATCTCTGCTCATAGGACAGCCTACTCTTACCACGTGACCAGCCTCTCAGCCAATAATACTTCCATCCTTGATGTAAACAATAAGTGTCAGACTTGTTGCAGAGCGCAGGCGTGTAACTAAAACTCCTTCCTACCGGAAACAAAAACCCGGAAATAAAGGTTCTGCATCGGTTTAATATGCATTTCTACTGCAGACCGTAGGTGTACACAACTTTCAGTAACATAACAAAATATAATACTGATAGAAATATATTTCAGCTTTCTGGACTTCACCCTCACTAATCTTCCCCACTTCCTGTTCCACAGTTTCTATGACCTCTACTCTTCTTTCTCTTTCATTCTCTTGATTCATCAGCTCCTAAAAGTACTCCTTCCATCTTCCCGTCACACTCTCCTGACTTTTTAGAATGTTACCATGCCTATCTTTAACAAGCCTAACCTGCTGCACATCCTTTCCAGTCTGATCCCTCTGTCTTGCCAATTGTTACAAGTCCTTCTCTCCCTCTTTCATTCAAGTGCATTAATGGCCTTGCACCATCATACCTCTC